TTGACTATTTCAAAAATAAAAAGAGTTATATAAGAAAACATTAAAACATTAAAATATTCAATGTATTAAATGCTATCTTTTTAAGAATTAATTTTACTTAATTTTAAGAGGTGTATATATATCCTCAAAACAATTGGTGAACATATCAATCTTAGCATTCGCATATCAATCTTCTAAGAAGTGAGTAAAATCATTGCAAAATGCCTTTTCGCATCAATCAAGCTTTCCTTTTGGGGATGCTATGCATTGCTTTGGTTTTGGATTCAGGTAAAGAAAAGTATTTAATTTTATCTCTTAAGTTCCATTTCTAGTGTTGATTGGGTATTGAACATGTTTCTATTTTCCAATGAATTTTTTCTACATTTTTTAATTTATAAAGATAGATGCCAATTAGACCCAGAGATCTCATTCTCATGAATAAAATATTTTGGAGTAAAAACTTGAGTGGTGTAATGTATAAATCCGAAGAATATGATTCACCAAAAAAGGAACTAATATTTGTTTATAAACTTTGTTGTGAATATATATGCAGGAGTAGGAGGAGGACTATTTCCGGGACTAAGCTGCCAACAAGGAAAATGCGCGAGTAACACAGTGTGCGACCAGAATTGTCATAACAGTGGCTTTCAGAAAGGAGGCACATGCATAGGAATTATTCCAGGCCTTATCCAGTGCTGTTGTTACAAATGATCGACCACTTGTATGAAAAATCAAATAAAACTTACCAAGAACTTCTGTTAAAAAGCTTCAACTTCATTATTCATCCATGAAATTTGAAATGAAATAATCATTCATCACATTAACTGTCTCCTATTCCAAAATATAAATAAATTTAAATACAAGAGTTAGTATGTCGAAGATAAGAAGTTTGCGCTATTTAAAAGGCATAATAACATTAATGCTTAAATAACTAATTTCTTTTTAGTAATCATGCATTTTTTTATCTCTTTATAATATTGAATATACAATTTTAGTTTTTCTATTTTTAAATTCGTAAATTTAATCCTTTTAAGTTTATTAAATCCACAATTTTGCTTCACTAGTTGAATGATTGTTAAAATTGTTAATCTAACATTAAGTAAATGATATGAGAAATAATATTTAGACTAAATTTGAGTATTAATTCTTTTTTTATCTCATAGAAGTTATAAAATGAGTTGAAAAAGTGATAAAAATGAAAATTATAAATTTAAATTAATGCAAATATTATGAAATATTATTGTCATCTATCCAATGTTGGATTATGACCAACGTTTTAATTTTAATAATCAATATATGAACATTTAACAAAAGGACCAAAATTACGAATTTTATAAAGTTTGGAGACTAAAATTATGAAATTTGAAATAAAAGGATTAAAATTGTGGATTTGATATTGATGGAGAAGGTGAGGAGGAGTGATAGGTGTTCTTCTCCTAATCTTCTCTCTAGCTCGGATCTTCTTCAAGGAGATGCAAACCGAAGTGGATGAACACTTGCAGGATGATGTTCTCGCATATAGAAGAAGGCTTAAGCCTTGGATGGAAGCATCCAAGCTTAAGGTTCAAGGGAAAACTCACTTCAAAGAGGAGGAAAACCTAGTAGGGTTCCTAAGGTGAAGCTTTCTCTCATGGTGACTCTCAAGAGAAAATTGGGCTGAATAAGCTCTCCAATTTTATGAATCTCAAAAGTGAGTACAAAGAGTAGAAGAAGCACCTAAATAAGCATCCGGTTATGCACACTTTTGGGCGCCTAAGTCAAAGCTTGCATGTGGCGCCCAAAATTTGAATTCAAATTTGAAATTTGAATTCAAATTTTGGCTCCCATGTGTTTGGCCGAAACTTTAGGTACCAAAGGTGCATCTAGGTTTGATTTGAGAGTCATTTAGGGTTAATTTGAGTAGCACATGTTCAGCCACCCATGGTGCTAAACATGTGACTCAAATGTAACTTAAATGACTTCCAAATTAAACCTAAGTTAGTCTATTTTGCCTATTTAAGTAATCCTTGTATAATCCTATTCTAATGACCTAATTACAATGGTCAATCAAATACAATGAAAAGGAAAAATTACAAGAATGAAAATGAGCCCAATATTGGGTACCAAAAGCCCAAAGGCCCATGAAGCCCAAAACTAGGCCCAACAAGCCTAAAACTCAAAAATGTTACTCTAAGTGGTCCAAAATACAAGACCAAAATAATATATGTAAACTATACTTAACAAAACATGAGAAGAATGTTCATAACAAGATAGGCCCATGTGAAACTTGTCTTGGGCCTTCCAAGCCCATAGGGCCCAGTGGGCCTTGACTGGCCCAATCCTCCATGTCTAGCCCACTCCTCTTGGATCTTTGAGTGTGTCACCTCTTGCATTCCAAAGTATGATTCCATCAGATATTATAGGAGCAAATAGAAATTTTGACCTATAATTTTTTTGTCTTCTTAATTGCATCTTTATTGTTAGATTCACCATTAAATTTAATGGAGAAAAGTAATATATATATATATATATATATATATAT